AGAATTCTTATACTGAATGCCAAAACTCATCAGCGGAAATTGTAGGCAACACAAGGAAAAAAAAATGCATAGATATGATGTGATAAAATACACAAACTTTAAAATAGGCAATACATAAGTAGTTGGATTGAGCACAAATGGCAATAACATAAGATTAAAATTTGTATAAAAATCTTTAAAAATTAATAAATACAACAAAATATCAAAATATATTACAAGTTTTTAATTTTGTTAATTTTTAGTTTTGTATTCGATAATTTTTTTAAGAGATCTTGACCGGCCTACCTAATAACTAAGGGTTTAAATTTGGCTTGGTCCAACTGGCTCGTCTCACCAGGGCTCAAGCTCAGGCCGACCCATTGTAGGGCCATGTAGGTTCCAACTGATATTAGGGTTGGGTCAGTCCAGCTTGCGTGGCAAAAATCTAGGCCCAAGCGCAAGCCCAAGCCCACTCAAAATAGGGTTGGGGGCTAGGCCACGGCCCTAGGCTCGAGCCGCAAGCCGAGTTTAGCGGGCCCTTTTTTTGGCTAAAAATAATTGATAGATATTATATATATAGATTATTTATGAGGGATAAAAAAATAAAAGAAAATTTGTACTAAAGTATTTTAGTTATGATTAATGAGATATTTAGTTATTATGACTTATGTTTTTTTAATTATGACTAAAAAAAATATGAAATTATGTAATTTTCTTCTTTTGTTATGATATTGTTTTAGTTATGATTTATGAGAGCTATTTGGTTGTGTCTCGTGTGATATTTAGGCCTCGTTTGGGAACAAGTTTTTTTAGTAACTTTTTGGCTTTTTGACTAAAATATGATGTAAAAAAAAAGTAGTATATTTGGGATGACTTTTTAGTTTCTTACGAAAAGATGTACAAAAAGTAGAGAGAAAAGGGAATCTTTGATTTTTTGGTATGAGTTGTTGGCTTTTTGGTTTTTTTAATGACTTTTTAGATAAAAAAATCACTTGCCAAACGGGGCCTAAGTACTCCAAGCCAAAACAGAAACTAGTTAGAAAGATGCATGATCCTAACTATACAAGATGCCTAATGCAACACATGCAATATGCAATTAATGGGCTCGGCTACTAATATGGCATATGATCTAATTTGAACAACATGTGATTAAACACGTATTCAAAGAACAAATTGAAATTGTAATGCAGTTTGAATGATACGCCGAGCCTCGGTGCATGCAAGACAAATGAATGGATGCAAACATGTAAGCATAAGATATGCTAATTTGAAACATAACCCTAATCTAACTAATATTTAATGAATAATTTTTATTTCAAAATGAAATAAAATATTACAAAAATTTATATCATTAAATAAAATAGATAAACATTATTAAAATTTTATTTTTCGAGCCAATTAGGCCAAATCGTAGGCCGGGCTAGGCTTCAAAACAAAGGGCCTAGGGTCCTAAGCAGATAGGGGTGTAAATCTGGCTCGGCCCATGTCAGGCTTTGTAGGCTCCTGCCAAAATTCAGGTCGGGCCACGGGCCAACAAATTTGGTCCAAGCCTAGGGATATTCGGGCTAGTGGGTCGGAACTCGGGTAGGCCTAGTAGGCCTGGGCCTGGACTCGAGCTTGGGCCGGCTTATGTGGGCTTGACGATTTTTTTTTTGTTTTTTTTTAATTTTTCTACTAAAATTTTATTATTTTTCACTAAAAAATACATTAGGCCTTAAAGGCTGATGGGCTGGCCCACAAGCCGGGCCAGGCTTCAAAATGATTGGCCATGGCCTCGGGCTTAGATGAGCCTAGTCAGGTTGGGTAGCACCAAGCTGTGAGCCGTTTTCAAATGGGCCACGAGCCAGTGGGCCAAATTTGCACCCCTACTAATAACTACTGTAACAAGGGAGAAACCAAATTGATATTGATGAAGTTGTGTGTACTTTTATTTTTCAAAAGCAACAATTTACGATTATGTTTTTAACCATTTAAAAGACCATGATATATGGATAGATAAGAAAATTCTTGTATTATTAATTAGGGTATTCAAATTATCCAGTGAACCAAATGATTGAATTAAATCGACCTCTTGGGTTGGGTTGGGTTGGGTTGGTTTTTGAATTCATTGGTTTGGTTCTAGATCTTCAAATTGTCAAACCAATAGGATTAGGTTGGTTCTTGGTTTAGGACTTACTTAAATCAAACCAACCTGCTAACACAACACACACATATATATATATATATATATGTGTGTGTGGGTGTTGATTTTCAACCACACAACCAAAAGGGAGAACTTAGCTGGAGAGCACCGGCAGAATAGATTAAGCCCGAATAACCTGTCACAGAAAGATAAGAATCCCGCGGTAGTTCATCCACCCGGGGACACTCCGACGATCAAGTCAGTAAAATATCTCTCAAAGATAACCAATAATGCTTAACTCGCTAGACAGAGCATAAAAGACATACCTTAGACCCATGGGGGTGCCTCCCTTTTATAGCCAACACAATCCTAGTCCAAATAGAAACCTAGCTCTAATGGACTTAGGATTACTATTAATCTTGGACTCCCAGTAGGATTAGGACAAACTCTCTAAGAGTCTTATCTTTACCCAAACTGAAGTCTTCTCCCATTCTGGACTCTTGTCCCTTATCCGCTTATCCCGGATTCCGGTATTCTCGCAGATAACCTCGGCCTAGCCGAGATCATCTCAGCATCATGACCAGGACACGTGGCACCCCGGTTGGCACTTCGGTGACACCGCGGCCACGTGTCGTCATTCAAAATTTATGTCCCCACAACTGCCCCGTAGGTTCTATTACCTCGGCATCCTGAGATGACAGAACCTATATCATTCATTCCTTTAATTATGACCCCAGTTTAACTTCAGCTCGTAAATTTTTCTTAAAATTTCAACAGGTGTTAAACATAACCTCGGTTTAACTTCAACTTGTGAATTTTTAAAATTTCACCAAGTGTTAAACATGTCATCGGTTTAACTTCAACTTGTAAATTTTCAAAATTTCAACAAGTGTTAAACATGTCATCGGTTTAACTTCAACTTGCAAATTTTTCTCAAATTTCAACAAGTGTTAAACATGACCTCGGTTTAACTTCAACTTGTAAATTTTTCTTAAAAATTTCAACAAGTGTTAAACTGATCTTGGCTTGAAAATTCGAACTCCCATGCATCATTCTCCAGTCCTCTACATGGTTTCCACCTACTCCTTTGTGGACCTTATATAAAAAGTCTTTAACTCAGACTGAGCTTTTCTCTTCTCGAACTTAATCATCTAGGCCGAGATCTTGTCTTTTGGAATTCTCCATGCCCGACCTCTCGCGAAGGCCGGTGAGAATGTTCCTTGGTCCCGCCATGCTAGGGGACTGTAGGACCGTTTTCTGCCCCCTTTTTTGGGCACCTTTCTTGGCCATTGGAATCGGTGTATCTTGTAACGGGAATGGTGGTTACATGACGTTGTTCTGCATCATGAAATTGACGACTATTTGCAGGTCTGCCAATTTGTCCGCCATTCCCTTCATCTCGTCATCCCTCCGCAGGCATCTATCTTTCTGTACTTGGAGGTCGTCCTCATTATAGTACTCGCTCCGGTCCGATTTCTTCGGTACGCTGCCCTCCTGGCCAACGTCCTTTCCTCCGTGATTCTTATCACGAGTCTCTTCATTGCAATTGTCTTCTTCGACATCAAGGTCAATATGTTTCCCACTCTCAGTAGGGGTGTCGTCCCCAACCTTCTCATTCTGTTCGTCGTTGGCAATCTATTCTCCTTTATTTCCCACAGACGACGCCAAATTGTGGGTGTTGATTTTTGACCACACAATCAAAAGGGGGAACCCAGCTGGAGAGCACCGGCAGAATAGATTAAGCCCGAATAACCTGTCACGGAAAGATAAGAATCCCGCGGTGGTTCATCCACCCGAGGGCACTCCGACGATCAAGTCAGTAAAATATCTCTCAAAGATAACCAATAATGCTTAACTCACTAGACAGAGCATAAAAGACATACCTTAGACCCATGGGGGTGCCTTCTTTTTATAGCCAACACAATCCTAGTCCTAATAGAAACCTAACTCTAATGGACTTAGGATTACTGCTAATCTTGGACTCCCAGTAAGATTAGGATAAAATCTCTAAGAGTCTTATCTTTACCCAAACTGAAGTCTTCTCCCATTCTAGGACTCTTGTCCCTTATCTGCTTATCCCGGATTCCGGTATTCTCGCAGATAACATCGGCCTAACCGAGATCATCTCAGCATCATGACCAGGACACGTGGCACCCCGGCTGGCACTTCAGTAACACATCGGCCATGTGTCGTCATTCAAAATTTATGTCCCCACAATATATATTTAAAAATATATATATTGAAAGAGTTAGGCACTTTTACAGCGTTATGCAACCAAAATTCAAATTATTGTCATGACCATAGCAAGAGATTACTTGGAATTACACGGCAGTAAGAAACAAAAGTTCAAAAATGTATTGACTAGCAGCTCAATCCAACGAGTTTGTTTCACCACATGTTTGTGGACTTCTCTCAAACATGGGTTATATATATGTCTCAAAGTACATTTTATTGTTAATGATTATTTTTTTTATATAATTTACTTAAACTATTTTATTTTGATTTTCAAGTTTTAAATAATATTTTACTTTTTATTTTTAATTGTATCTTTGATTGCTATTGATGTAATTAATGAAGTTTTTTTTTACCGATAAAAAAAAATTATTTCAATGTTAAAGATTTATTTATTTAATTATTTATTAATGATATATTCAATTGTTTTTAATATAACTAGCGGCCGGGCACACGTGATGCGTGTGCAAACTCGTTTAAAATTATAATATGATTTTGATATTATTTTTTCTAATAATATACATATAAACCATATGAATAATTATTGTAACGCCCTCAAAATAACAACATTAAACCCATCTGATAAGACATGCATTTACATATAAACTAACCACATTCCTTTATTCCTTAGAGTTCCATTTAACTAAAAAAACTGTACAATAAAAATTCATATAAAATCTAAATTTGATAACATGAGACCGGAGATCCTGCAAATCCTGCAAAAAAAAAAAGAAAAAAGAAAAAAGAAAAATACATAAGATATATTTATCATAAGATTGCTAATAGTATACATTGATTAAAATTATATTTTACGTTATGAGGCATAATTATACATAAGTTTGGTTTTATAATTGGCTTATTATGTATAAAGACACAAAAGGTAATTATTGTGTTAATTTTTTGTAAACAAAATCTAAAAATTAAAAACTTACATATCGACATAGATTGACATCGTTCATATCAAATGTCACGTTCAATGATCTCTTCAAATTGTTTTGATGCAATTTTTGCCATAGATCTATGACAACAGTAGTAAACACGATAATAACCAACTACCAACATCCACGGACACATGTCCGGATCACTGTACAACAAGGGTAAACCCGGGATCGCTATAATTATGTACAATGTAACATTTGATATTAACGTATTTGATAAATAAAACATATGCACATTACAATATGTACACGTGTTTTAAAAATTGAAATATTTACTAATCTTAACTAAAAAAAATGTACAATAAAAATTCATATAAAATCTAAATTTGATAACATGAGACCGGAGATCCTGCAAATCCTGCAAAAAAAAAAAAAAAGAAAAAAGAAAAATACATAAGATATATTTATCATAAGATTGCTAATAGTATACATTAATTAAAATTATATTTTACGTTATGAGGCATAATTATACATAAGTTTGGTTTTATAATTGGCTTATTATGTATAAAGACACAAAAGGTAATTATTGTGTTAATTTTTTGTAAACAAAATCTAAAAATTAAAAACTTACATATCGACATAGATTGACATCGTTCATATCAAATGTCACATTCAATGATCTCTTCAAATTGTTTTGATGCAATTTTTGCCATAGATCTATGACAACAGTAAACTACAAAAAATAAGATGGAATTGACCGAAAATGAAGTACGTAACTTTAGTTATACATACAAACCTATAAGTAGATTACCTTGTAACAATGTTGCACATATATTTGTAAGCTTTCAATTTTTGAATCATTCGTTGCCTATAAAACTGAGGAAAAATATCTCACAAACATGTAAGTTGATTGTTTGACAAATTTATAAAATCTAAAATTAATTTGTAAATTCACAAATATGAATATATGGAGCGTAGTAGTAAAGTTCATAAGACTTGATCTTTTGCCACATATATGTCCATATTGTCTTTGCTGCATATACTTGCTCTATCAGATATGATATGATTTCTATAAAAAGATTACAATAACTATTAGCAAATGTAACATATTGAAATTATTCATATAAAATGCCAGAAACACATTATCATACCGATGTTGTCGTTGCCTCAAAAGCTCTCGCACAATTAATTTTCCCAATTGTTTTTTTATCAACTTTAATAGAGACCTTCCATCCAAGACTGTATATGGAGAACTGTTTGACCTACATTAATTTAAAAGGTATAGTCAAACTCAAAATATATGCGAATATTGTCAGATTAAATAGCAAAAATTTTGCAAACATTATTTTTTGAACATAAGTGAAGCCAATACCTGATTTTTAACTTTCTTATCTGCAACCATATTTGCTTCCTCCTGATAATTCTCCCAAAGCTGAAGTAGCTTTATTTTTTCAAGTATTTCTACAATCAATAATTATATGAAGATATATTATAAGTATATTAATTGTAGATTTTAAGAAATGACATAATATAAGCTGAATAAGAACATATTTAGTACATACCTCATGCATCAATAATTTGGTAATAAAACGTCTTTGTAGACTACATTGCGGGTATACACTCCTTCTTCATTATTAACTGAACCCTTTTTAACCAAGACTTTCGTTGTTTGATCTGACACCCCTCGAGATAAAGCAACATATAGTTGCCCATGACTAAATACATGATCCGGAAGGTAAATTCCCACATGTGGAATTGTTTGACCTTGTGATTTATTAATCGTCAAAGCAAAACTAAGGCGAACTGGAAATTGCGTGCGAGTCATTTCAAATGGAAGTTTTAAGTTTTCCGGAGCCTTTAATGGAATGTGATGTAGGAAAACTCTCGTGCCTTTGAAATGTCCTGTTAAAATCTCTGAATCTATGAAATTATCGTTCAAAGCTCGACACAGTGGCCTTGTGCCATTGCACAAACCAGAAGAAGGGTCAAGATTCCTCAAAAGCATAATAGGGGCTCCAACTTTCAAATGCAATGCATGTGGGGCATTCCTCCTGGTGAAATGGAATTTAAAAACTCTTGTTGATACAAATTTTGGGTATCATTTTCAACTTTATCAAATGAGTGGTACACTCTTGATTCTCCTGGAAATCTCTGAATGATTTTCTCATTGAGCTTGTCGACATCTTCATTGCGAGGAGTTATTATGCCCCTACTAACCATATACTCGGCGTCAAAAGAATGGTTTATGATATCAGGATAAATTTCTTCTAATAGTTGAACTATTGATTCTTCACCATTCCATGGTATTGCCATCGATGTTGGTACTTTGATCATTTCATCTATAATGGTAGGTTGTACACCATTTCCAACAGATAAAAGAAATTCACCAAACTGTTGGTCATTTATAGAGCGCATGTTTTGCTTTAAACGAAGTATTTGAATGTGACTCCAAAGAGGTGATTTGACTATCGATGCAGCAATAGTTTCAGCTTTTGTACCTTTAGGAACAACTGGAAGTACTTGTCGAAAATCACCACCAAACACCATAAGTTTGCCACCAAATGGATAATCAACACCAGTGATGTCTATGAGTGTTCGGTTCAAGGCTTCAAAAGCATAACGATTTGTCATTGTAGCTTCATCCCAAATGATGACTGTTGCACGTCTAATCAATTCTGCCAAATCTGATTGTTTAGGAATGGAACACACGGACGAAGCCTCTGGATTTAAGGGGATCTTGAATCTTGAATGGGCAGTCCTTCCACCAGGTAAAAGTGTAGCTGCAATTCCAGAAGTTGTTGTTGCAATGGCAATTCTCCCTTGACTTCTCACTGAGGCCAATAGTGCACGATATAAATATGTCTTTCCAGTTCCTCCTGGGCCATCCACAAAGAAGATTGCACCAGTATTGCATTCCACAGCCTCCATGATTGAATTGAATGCTAAGTGTTGATCACTATTTAATGTGGCAATAGAATTTAAGTCTTCTCGAGGAGTTACAATGGAAAACTCATCTTGTATGACCTTTGGAACTGTTGCATTATCATCCAAATTCATTGTCATCTCAGGCAAATCGTATTCTGATATGTTCTTATTATGCTGTAGCAGGAGACGGTTTATATCTTGCAGGGTTTTGTTAAGGATATACATATTATTCATACTGTTTGATGATATGTAATCTTCAATCAAGTAAGGATAAATTTCATCCCACAAACTTCGCACCCCTGTTGGCACACAGTAAACCAAAATTGTAACGAACAATCTCCTTAAAGCTGATGGCATGTGCATGGTTGCAGCTTCTAACAAACATTGTCGTATGCTATCATCATGCTCTAACAAACCATGATGTTCAGTTGCTTGTTTAAAAGTTGGGTACGCAATTCCATTAACCATCAACAAATGATCGAATGATTTTGGTCCTCGAATATGATTGAGTAAAATTCTCAAGTAAAATCTCTCCCTTTCTGATGGCGAAATTGTGTAAATTCTACCAATTACTCTTTCATGGTTCAATCTCAACTGCCAAATCTTTGCGCTATTGCACCATCTATAGTGTTGCGGTATCTCTCGATATAAGTATCGATTTGCAGTTTCATCATCAACATTTAATTGAAAGAATTGGGTAAGCATTGTTCTGGAATAATAGTCATCGCCTAAAACATTTGTGATGTCTTGGAACGTACAAAACCTCACTTGCTGCTTATTTGGTAAGTGTATTTGGAGGCGTTCTATGCTAGGAGTCATTTTGGTCATTGAGAATTTGAATATTTTCCACAATGCTTCTGGAGCACAAACCCATCTTCCATCTATGAACTGTTGTACTTCGTCATAATTAGGACCTTGACGAACTTCTAATGCAACACGGTCAGGCCCTTTATAAACATATTTGTATAAATACTTCATACTTGTAACACTACTGTAAATTTCAAGATTGATATGAAAATCATATTTCAAGAGCAACCATGGGTTGCATGGAATGACCCAACTATTATCCACCAAGACGCTTGGATTACTCTCTACAGGAACTGACTCCCCTTCTCTTCTTCGATAAATAGGATATGAATCGTTTCCAAGTGTAGTAATTGAAGAAAATGGCTTTGGGAAACGTCTTTTGCACCGACCATTTGTCATACACGGGGACCGTTCATTGTACATTCCACATGGGCCATGTATCATGTGTTTCAGAACTGCACTGTATAATCTAGGCTCTAATCTCTTGTCTGGAATTTCAGCTCTGACAATGTTATCATAATCATCAGGAGTGCGTAACTTATCAATTTTTATTTATTTATTATCTAAGATAATAACCATGTGGGCATGTGGTAGGCCTCTTTTTTGGTACTCAATAACATATGCATATGCCAGAACCTTCCCAAGTACATGTTTTGTAAGAATGTCGGTCTTCATCTCATCAAATTTTGAATGAAATATTCTTGTTAGCAAATTAGGACGATCATGTGGTGACTGTCCAGGTAGCAACTCAGCTTTAATTTCAGGCCAATTTGGATTGCAGGTCATCGTAAGGAAAAGATCAGGTTTTCCATACTTTTGGACCAGAGCCATTGCATCTTGATATCGCTGATACATGTCTCGTGGGCTACCAACAAATGACGATGGCAATATTGTTCTACGACCAACATTACCTAAACAAATATTTCACAAAAGGAAAAAAGAAATTGTATGTATGAATATAAACAAACATGCGTACATGTAATTGTAATATCGTACGTGATAATTTGTACCTCCATAATTTTCACCAGCATGTATTGCATCTAGAAGACCTTGATAAAAATCTGCTCGAATGTGATTCTGATGAGTACGTATCCATCTTAATTTGTTGGACTCAATCTTCACGTAATTATCTACAACATACTGCTGTAAGAGACGACCTCCTCGAAGAAAAAGAGATTGATCACCAGGGCGAATCTGAATTGATAGTATTTCAATACTTTTAAATAATTAAAAGTAAAGATTTTATACGAAATAATTATAGATTGAATAACTTCGACAAAGTAATTTTTTAATATTATGTATACGTCGTTACCTGTAGCATATAAGAATAGAAATCACAACATGTTACTTTTCTGCCATCATTACTTCTGATATTTACATCCCATCCATATGAACCGTAGGGTAACAACAGAGGATACTGTAATGGATCATAGTATCCGACAATATCATAAATATTTAGGAGGTGACCATTGGCTGATTGGACAATGATATTTTTAAATTTCCAGCTTCTTCGCCACCTACTAAAACTGCAGCAACTTCAGGAGCAGTAGGAAGGTTGTATTGGGGCCTATTACGTGGTTGCTCTTTGATTTGAAGTCTACATTCATGTATGTCTGGACGCTGAGCCAATTGGCAAAACGTGTGTACAAATGGATTATGAGTATTTAAAATATTCTTTATCTTGTCAAGCAAATCCAAGTGCAATTCATCATTTTCAGACATTCGATTCTCATTCTCGTGGTCAGTGTCATAAACATACAGTTGCAAATATCTCGGTCTGTTGCTAGAATTTAGTAAGAGACTCCCAATCTTATGATATATGGCTCCTTGTGCACGAAACGTGTACACACCTCGAGTTCTTGTTGCTAAGTTTTCATCAACATGAACACCCATTGAAGTGAATGAGAAAACATGATTGTAGGCTCGAATATTTTGTCTGAAATGACGACCTTCCACTATTTGGTCAGAGAAAATATCAATCATGTCATTTGGAGCTGTTACTGGTGGCAAAATAATTGTTCCATTATTACAACACATGGTAGATGTTTCACGGTGGAACAATCTTGTGTTGCAATGTCTACATGTAGTTGGAGCAGGGAACTGCATTCTTTGGAACCTTTCACTTTCATGAAAATTTCTTGCACAATTATGATAGCTCCTATGGATAAATGATCGATTATCTGGAATATCTTCATCACTGAAAGCATCCTGATTGTGGTCGACGTGAGGGATATTTCCTATAACAATATATGTATAATGTATGGGTTTATTATTAACACAGTAGTATTTATTTGAAAGTGTTTGAGTTTCATGTTCAATATTAAATGTAATTGTACTGCATATCATATTTACATGATCATATTTTTTACATTTATTGTAAAGGTTGTTTATTTTGTAAAAGTACTTAAACTAAATAAATTATTTGTACCTTCCATCTGAACTTCGCGAAGATCTTGTATGTTGCCACTCGTGCTTCCATGCTCATACGTCGAATGAGTTGGTGCATATCGGGGTAAGTCAATACGTGCGAGTGCAGTCATTCTACTTTCCCGTCTAAAAACATTAGTCGCAACCAAATTGCCTTCTTCGTGAATGGTTGGAAAAACTGTTGCTCGCGGCCTACGCCATCCTGTTCTATTTCTTCTTGGGATTGCATCGAAAAAGTTTACCATGCATCCTAGCAGTTAAAATTATAAATAATAAATTAAATGACTATTAATGTCAAAAGTGTAAAAGCTTAAAAAAAAAGAATGTTTATAACATTTGAATACTTACTACTTGTTTGTGCATTCGTCATATTATGTACTTGATTTGGATGAGAAGTTTGTTCGATATTTTCAGATATTTGCCTTCTTTGTCGATAATTTGTTCGTCGCCTTGCAAGTTGTTGTTCGCGTTGTTCAATAGTCAAAGCAACCCTCCTTTGTTTAGCATAATTACGCCAACTTTCCCTTTGAATTTCTCTTTGTTGCAAATTAGAGGTCGCACTTTCTTTGCGAATAAGCAATCTTCACCTGTGCTGAGCAAGACAACGTTGCTCCAATCTTGTTGAGCGTTGTTCAATGCTTAAGTTTTGAATGCGTAACTGTTCAAATTCTCTTTGTGGTTGTTCAGTTTGAGCATTTGGTTCCGAAGCTGAGCGTTGCCTCCTCTGTTGTAGGTATAAACGACGTCATTCACGATTTTGTTGTTGTACATGTCTCATATTTGATGTGTTAGGGTAATCGTGATTCATTTTTCGTAAGATTGTAAGCAAACTAACACTTACGTAGATGAAATCCGGCTATCTTTAAAATGTGCCTACATTATATAAAATTATGTAAGAGGTAGTTATAGTATATTCACAATGCGACTCGTATACTCACAATATAATAAGCTTTATATTTTTATGTAAGTGTTTTCATATGTTTGTTTTTATATTTTTATAATGCATATTATTTTAAGTACTAATCTCATTTTGTGGAGAATTAAATAAAATTGCAAGCGAAAGAGATTACCTAGTAATGATGAGCCAAAGCGTGTGCAACTTGAGATATGATTTAAAAACAAACTGAATATAAATTTTTCAAACATTCGATTAAATATAAAAATAAATAAAAAATAGAATTAAAAATACTTACAGTCAAAAGAGAAGTAGAAGATAAGTATTAATAAAACATGACTGTAGAAGTTATTTGTTCTGACAATCACAAACTCATTACGTAATAAATATAAAAAAAATCATATGAAATTTTGGGACCACTGAATTCTTTCTTATCAAAAAAATACACTTCAAAACAAACATATGAATAAACAAAGAGTTTTTTAGAAAAGTTACAATAAAAAAAATTAGACACCTACAACTTTCTTTGAATTTTGGCCACCCATGTTCTTATCAAAAAAATACACTTCAAAACAAACATATGAATAAACAAAGGGTTTTTTAGAAAAGTTACAATAAAAAAGATTAGACACCTACAACTTTCTTTGAATTTTGGCCACCCATGGTTTTTTCCAAATTTCATGAGATTTGGCCAAACTTTCATGAATTTTAACTAAAAAATTATACAACAAAAATTCATACAAATAAATATTAAAAAAATTACATATAAATAAAAATAAAAATAAGGATTGAATAAAAAAATTACATATTTGATTTTTTCAAGCATAGAAAAAGAAGTTATATATTTGAAGCCATTACAAACTGAAGCAATAGAACACTTACTGTTAAAGCAATTAGGTGTCGATAAAGAATAATCCGAAAATTTTATTCTGAACAACAAAAAGTTATAAAGCAACCTTCTGAATCAATAAACGAAGGAAAATAATAGTCAGTTTTTTTCTCCAACAAATCGATTAACATATTTTTTTTTTCTTTTACTTTTTAATGAAGAAAATAAAAAGTGTAAGTAATAATGGTACACACAAAATAACAAAACAGGAACCCATATTCTTGGAACACTTGCAATAAAAAATAAATAATAAACCCAAAAAAAAAAGACTTATTTGTTTTTAATTTTTTTGAAATAAAACAATTTTTATGAACATTGAATTGTTTTTAAAAAAAACACACACACAAAAATTAAGTAATCAAACAACCTAATTTTTTGAAAACATAAATTGTAAACACACAAACACAAATATTGATATCAAAATTCAGACCCCTCTCTGAAACCATATTTGACCCCTCTTGGTAACATGAGACTGAAGAATATGCTCCATATTATCATAAATCTAAATTGATAACGACTTGCATAAAATCTCCGGTATCATGTTAGCAAAATTCTTTCATCTTCACCTCTCTCTCTCTCTATTTACTATAAAATCTTCCCTTTTATTTGTTCAATGATTTATTTATTTTTTGTTGGGAGAAATACTATTCAAGAACATTGCAATCTTATGATTCTCTTTATTCGGAATATATATCTACTGCTTATCTTACAATGTAAGTGTAGTATTGTTAATTATATTTTTATTTTCTTCAATAAAAAGTTTCATTATGTAATTAGGTTCTGTGGAGAAAAAAATATATTGATTCAGAACACTATTATGTATTTTGTTTCTTCATTAAAAAACTTTCATTGTGTGTGTTTTTGGAGAAAAAAAAAAAAACAAATCAGTGCTCATAATTTTGTGTGTGTCTGTTTTTGAAAAAAAAAACGGTATTTTCTATATTTTCATTAAATTAATTTATAGGTTCTTAATTTTTAGGTTTTTAATTAAACAGTTTGACATGTATGTGCAATTTTTTAGAGACTTAAATAGTTTTGGATTTTTTCCTCTTTCACTTTTTAAGCTATTGTTTGTGTATAAATTCAGCTTTTTTATAATTTCATTTGTTTGTTTGTTTACTTTTGTGAGAACACTATTATGTATTTTTTTTATTCATTAAAAAGTTTCATTGTGTGTGTTTTGAAAAATAAATAAATAAATAAATAAATTCAGTGTTCTTAATTTTGTGTGTGTGTATTTTTGGTGGAAAAAAAAAAAGCAGTGTTTTTTGTATTTTCATTAAATAATTTTTAGGTTCTTAATTTATATTTATGCAAGCTTCTTTGAATAATTTGGCACCATGACGTAGTGTAAAAGAGACCCAGTAATCAAAGAAACACAAACATAAAGTCAACCTAGACAACACAAATTCACATACATTATTTAGGATATATAGTTGATATACTCACAGATCAACAAATCATAGATAAAACCACAAACAACATAGTTAATTAAAATTAGAAAATTTAAAAGAGGTGGTGGTGCTTCTTTCTTCGTACAGTTGAAAACAGCCATATGAAAAACGCAAAGGTTTTTTTGTAAGAATAGTTACAAATAAAGAAAATGGCACAAAAGATGATATCTATACAAATCCAAACAATTTGACTAAAACCAAAGAACTTGCAAACATTAAGTCCAGCTAAAATGACCCTATGTTGTTTCAAGATTGAAAATTTAAATATGCCAAACAATAATAACCTTTTCCTTCAACATAGAATTGAAATCAGAACAAAATCATTTAAAACAAATCAACTGACCAAAACCCAAAATTCTTAACTTATTACACGCCACTGAATGATTTTTAATTTTTATTTTTATACTGATCATTCATATAAACTTATTGATCATTCTTAACTTATTAATAACTTTTGGTGTCCTCCTTGTCTATCTATTGTATGTTCTATTATTTTTATTTGGATTTCTTATTTGGGTTTTTCTTTATTCTTAAATTTGTGTGTGTGTTTTTGTGGAAATATATATAGATATATATGTATATATATAAAAATTGAGAGAAAGAATTGGACAAAACAGTGAAGAATTGATTCATCACAATTGATATATCATAATTAAAAAAAAAAAAGAAAAAGAAAATTAGAGAGAGAAACTTTGGGCGAAAATAAAGCATACTCAACTCTATATTGGGGGGGAGGGGAACTCTACAATAATCCATCAATAAGTCTAGAATACTTACAGTAAAAGTAGATAAGTGTAGATAAAGAATGACCTGATAAGTTGTTTATTTTGAAAAACACAAACTCATAAAGCAACCTGCAAAAAAATTTACATTATTACACGAAAAGATACAACGCAAAATAATGTTTGATTTAGTTGGAATATTTAGTATTACAGAAAGTATAATTAACAATATTACAAAAAAAAAATACAAAAATACATATCTGCAGGACCCTGAATTATGGGAAAAAGCCCCTAAAAGCCCAAAAGTTTTTAAAAACTGAATTATGGGAGGTTGCTACTAAAAAAAACACATAAGAGAAACAAAAAATAACACAACATGGGCAAGGAGGTTGGTTTACTTAATTAACATATCCTCTTGGATCATGATAGATCTCCACACTTGTGCCAAACCAAAAAATTGAATAGGAGAAACAAAAAAAATAAAATAAAAATTAAGTGAAAAAAATACAAAATCAAAACACACCAAACAGGACAAACCCCAAAACTATTTACGCATAAGTATATACAGAAGTACACAAAATAGAAAGGTACAAACCCAAGAGACTTATAATACTCATAATGAAAAATAAATAGTAACATTGAAACATATTTGATGTACATAAAGAAAACTAAAAATTACAGAATTAAATAGCCAAGGAATTATGAAACAGATTTATTCATCTTACTCTTTGAAGACTCATTATGATTTGTCTAATACTTAACTTCACCATATAAATTGACTCCAACACCTATTTATAAAAAAAAATAAAATAAATAACTATCAATTTTTGGTCGAAATAAAAAAAAATAAATAGTTGAAGTTAAATTATATAAATAGTCTCTGTACTGCACACGATATGTCAATTTAATCCCTATTATAACAATCACATTTTATACTACTCAAATAATACCTTTAAAAAAAATAAAAAAAAATCACAACTTCTACCAAACATAGGCAGGAGGTTGGTTCACTTAATTAACATGGCACTATGAGGCCCACCTAGTGCTTGAAACAACCATTCATTTGTAGGGTTTATCCACAAAATAGTTGGTATAAAACCTTTAATTAATTTGATCAAATTGTTCTTAGAAAATTGAACGGATAATAAATTTTTTAATATAGGTAATTTATGTATTTATTTATTTTATAAGATAAATGTAACCCAATGATATGAATTTCATTGTTCAATAAACTTAGTTTTTTGTATATGGATACTCGTTTCAATAGATTTTTACAGAATAAACT